AGGGACGGCTAGCGTAGATAGCCCTCATGTAGCTTTGCGCGAAATTCAAAAACAAACAATCAACGATTAGATTCACTATTAAAATCTTCTGTTACAGAAGCATTGTTTTGCTTTTTTTTTCTTGCTTTTTTACCGTGTTCCATTTTATGATATTAGCTAATGTACATGACAACGCAACCTCATGATAAAAACGGAAATAAGTAGAAATGACGAAATGACATATAGTTACCGTAGAAGCAAGTTCAATCCTGACGCAACAAGTTCATGACAGCAACATCACGTAACACGTTTGATTATTTTTCGAAAACAAAATGCAATGTAAATATAATTATATACAACATATTATGCAAATACAATATATAAAATTATATAATGCACTTATATATTATAATAAATAGAAAATAATGTATAATAATATGAACATATATTATAAATCGCGATTTATGATAATTAATATGTTTGGGATTTTCTTAACTAATTATCTAACATAAGACATAAACTAGCTGGTTCATATGAATATCGTGTATTATGTGTGTGTTATAGCAAAACCATATGAGGCTATCGGCTTTGTCCACAGATGAGAATCAAACCCCTGAGTTTAGCGTTGTAAATCCATAAACTAACCACTGTGCAAGCGGGAGAAATCTTGCATTATCAATTAAAACGTGTAACCAAGAAAGTTTCTGCTAGAATTGTCCAGCTCGGAAATTTAAGAAAACATTTAACGGTACTTCTAAACTACAATTTTACATAAAAATAAATGAATAAACCTTCTAAATTAGTATCAAACTGAATATATAAAGAGTTAATATTAAATATAAAAACATCATAAACAAATACGATGAAAGCTTTATATATATTACATCAAGGATAGCCGACAATCCATCACTGCAGATCGAATCAGCTGAATATGTCAAGTAGCACAAGCGAGCCTAATTAAGTCTGAAACAGTATATATAATAATTATTTATATACAATACTATAGAATTATACATCGTATACAAATGATTATAATTCCCATTTCTTATTTAAAATGTAACGAGTTGCGCTATGCATAGACAAAACATGGAGCGACGCTACCTGCAATCGCTATGAATTTTCAGGGGGGCAGAAATCAAGTCCAATGCCCAAGAAGGAGTGTAAATGGACAGAATGGATCTTTATAAGCTAATAGCTTATCATATGATGTTAGAACCACCGCTAGCCAACTACCCCCGTAACAAAAAAAAAAAAAAAAAAAATGACAAAATATAAATCTAGGGAAAGATATCCTACAACATTATTTTTATTACAGTTAAAATAGATTCATTTGATTAGAAAATTGAAATAACTTAATTATCTTACATTTTTTTCCCTGCTATGTGTGGCTCAGCAGTAAATTTGAAGGCTTATAACGCTAAAAATCGGATTTCGATACTAGCGGTGGGTATAGCACATATGGCCCATTGTGTAGATTTGCGCTTATTTTTAAAAATAATTTTGTTTGCCCTCTAGTGGTATAATTCCATATTAATGGCGATGGTGTCAAGATTTTTGTAAACAAGATACTAACTTTAAATTGTGTTAGTTGGTTATGTACAATACTCCTGTTTTCGATCTTTAAAAATGTAGGAGCAGGTGAAAGAACGGAATATTTTGTTTTTTGTAAGTAGTATATCATAAGTATTTTTTTTATTAGTGAGCATAGTGTAATTAATCTTAATAGTAATACTCACTTAATCATAGTTGTAATAGTAATACTAACAATCAAGAACTGTAGTGTATAGTGTTACTGGGCCTAGCATTAGCAATGTCTAGTACTAGTTCCCCCAACTGAAACTTGAAAGAATAAATGATACAGTATAACTGTAATGTTATTTTGCGTAGACTTGTTACTGTATGACTAATATTAGTGAACATTTGAAATTTTCTTTCGCCTTTTTCGACAATTAACAGTTAGAAATATATGGCACGCCCTCTACTGCTCTAGCCTAACGATGCCAAATAATGCGTAAGAATGATAGTGATAGTTATTGAGATGTTTAAAACTACAATAAAATCAAAATTTGTAGTAATAATTTTATTAATTTTTAGCAGAGGATATGATAAAAGAAATTGGGTTCGATACCATAAGTAAACTAAATCAGGAAATGTATTAAACATATTGTAATGTTAAGACTAAGAGTATAAAGTAATACTATTACTATTAGTATTAATAAACGTCAATATATTTCTTGTTATAATTAAGAATTTAATTTTTAAAGTTCAAACACGATTTTACAACATGAGACTGTATCATACATTTTTAGTTTTACTCAGAATCGAGTTAGTAGAATTGTTGAATAGCAAATATGAAATGATTTATTAGATATAACTTTCATGAGGTTGGTGCATCACTGAATAATTGTTCAATTAGGCTATGGCCTGCTTCTACCAGTGCCAGTACTAGTAGTAAATATTATTAGTATTAGTGATTAAGCCTATTTTCTATAATGTTAAAAGTTAATCACAAACAGCTTGTAGCTCTTATGAAAATGACTTGGGGGAGAGGAAGTAACATTGACATTAATTTCAATTAATAGGACCAAAATATTTTGCTAGCATAAATAACCATAGGTTTCCATTTACTTCGAATATGCTAGAAACTTGTTTCAAAATATTTAATTAAAGCACATTATTTTATGTATGGAATTTTTATATAAATATGTAAAACATAATTCTTATTCAGTGGATATGTGTTTATCATATATGTCTGTGTAACTTTTTGAGCCACTGACTTACAGTTTTAAAAGGAATTATCCATGTCTTTGTTTTCTCACCAGTGCTGGCTAAAGGTAAGTGACATATTTGGTGTTGTTATGTTATTGTCATTGTATGCATTTTATTTGATTTCAGGAACTGACCATTCATGTAACTTAACCAATCTGCTTTACTCACCCACCCATTTTATCTTCATACTTCTAGACTCATTTGTTTCTTTTATTTTGAATTTAACATTTCATCTTTCATATATATCAGAGTAATGTACTGCAAAATAGTACAGAATATTTAAAAAACAAGAAAATGTGAATAAGTTGAACATGTTAGGAACTTAATCATTTTCTTTTTGTTTTTAAATATTTAATGTAATTCAGTTTTTATAATTATATATTCACTATTGTTTGAAATCAAAATAAGTTATGGGAAATATATAATGCATTTTAATATATTTCCATCAGCCATGTCAAAGCTGTTTTCTTTGGTGCATTATGTTTTTATTCTTCATGATAACAAAGTAACAAACTAGGAAATACATATTACATATTAATTCATTCTCTTTAATCATAACTTAATACTATTCTGATTTTTATACAATATATTTTACACAAAATGTAAGCTAAAATATGAGACTGAAAAGTGCACAATATATATTAACATTCTCTTTAATCATCCAATTCAAGCATCTTCATACAAGTTTCAAGTAGTGTATTGAGAAACAATACATTCTAACAATTTTCCTTTATCAGAAACAAATGTTATATGGGAAGCCTAAACTGTATGTTAGCCCTATACTGTAGTTTTCTGGCCTGACATGGGCAGGTGGTTAGAGTGCTTGACTTGCAATCCTTGAATCTTGGGTTTGAATCCCTGTCCCACCAAACATGCTTGCCCTTTCAGCCATGGGGGCATCATAATGTGATGGTCAATCCCACTATTTGCTGGTAAATGAGTAGCCCAAGAGTTGGCATTGGTTGGTGATGACTAGCTGTCTTCCCTCTAATGTTTCACTGTTAAATTAGGGATGGTACCCAGAATAGATTCTGTCTATATCTAAAGTTTCCACTGCTTGGTTGGATTGTCAGTGGCATCAGTGATTATGGTATACCTTCAAGGGCTGTGGGGGCTCGGTTCCAAGAATTTCTGGATGTGTGGTAACCTTAACCATGGGTCCAGGAGCACTGCAGGTCTTTGAGTCATAATTAGTCATTCAGTTCACATCTTCACCACTATTATCCACCCGACCTGTAGGGTTTCCTTCTCCTGTGGTTTACTGGGATTTGGAACTTATTTCTAGGTTTATTTGTGTTTGATTGGTCTGGGAGTAGTGAGAGTTGTGCTAGTTCTTCAGAGTTTTTATTCCTGTCTGTTGTTGGGCTTATGGACACAGGAGATTGGTGTCCATTTATTGATATTTCTTGTCTATATCAATGCCTAGATTCTCCAAGGTTCACATGTTACTCATTCCTCAATCTCTGTTGATTTTTTTGACTGGGATTGTAGATGTCCAAGTTGGTTGTAATCAGCTCCTATCTGCTCTTTGCCATAGTGGGGATGTCCCACTACTATCTGCATTGGTAGTGCACAAGGTTCAAGTACTACATTCTAGGTTTTTTTTTTCCCTTTGGATTCGCATTGGCTTCACATGGGTTCTGCTGTATCGTATGAGTTTTTTTTCTCTCATCCCCTTCATTCCGTTGTACTGTGCACACACCATAACATGGACAACTGGTTACTGCTGGCACCATCTTGTCAGTTGTCAGACTATAACATCCTGATTCTACTTTCAGAAATAACCAAGGCAGGCCTCCCTTTCAGGACTGAGACATCTATCCTTGCTCCAGTTCAATATGTATTCAGTCTAGGTATTTTGATTTTTCAACTCGTCTCTCAGTTGGGCTCAGCTGACTCCCATCTAGTTCAACACAATATAATAGGACGCCACACTCATACTCACCACTCCTACTTCCACTGCATAGATGGTTCTTTCTCTTCTGGGAATGTGGGCACCACTTGAATCCCACATGCCTTTGGAACAAGACCACAACTGATTCTTTTATTAGTCTTTATGTGACCAAGGATCATAAACACCAATTCACTGGTTTCCCCCAGTTTCCTTAGTTGGGATCATTCTTCAATCTCGAGGGGTTTAAAATTAAGTTAGAACACTGCTATTATAAGGGTTCCTCTACTGCCACCTTGTCCAGAGTTCCATCTCTTCATGAATGCCTTGCTATAGGAATGGGGTGCATATACCAATAGTCAGGAATTCCAGAATCTATACACAGATGAAGAGGATTCCCTACACAGTGTTTTCGGCTGTCATGCTCTTCAACAGGTAGTGCTTCATGGTCTGGGCTTATTAAAGGGTAAATTGTCAAGCTTCATTTTAACAATTCTGTGGTGGTGTTTTGTGTTTTTCATCAAGGAAGGCACATCATCTAGGGCTCCTTGTTTTCAAATTTTGGACCTCCTTTCTCGGGACCAGTCCTATCTTATCACCCTTCTAGTTTGTCATGTTCAACAGGTGATGCCTTTGGTAGCAGGCCATTTATCTCAATCCAAATAGATCCTCCCAACAGAATTGATGTTGCATTGCAAGGTTCTGTTGGATTGGTTCTCATTTTGCAACTAATTGGTGGGTTGGCCTCTCATTGGATCATCCAACTTCTGGCAATTTGGTCTCCATTAACTCATCTTTGGGCTTTGGCAATTTATGAATTCCATTAGGACAGGATGGGATTAAACTCTAAGCCTTCTCTTCACTTCATATGATACCCAGGGTATGAAATATGATTTGTTCCAACCCAATGTCAGATCCTGTTGATAGCACCAAATTGGCTGCTACACCTGGGTTTCTGCTTCTGCAGTTCCCTTCTGGTGTGTCCAATTCTTCCACTCCTTTTTTTCAGCTCTCTCTATGGAGGCAGCCATGATCTGATATTGTACACCTGGCTATCCAAAAGCTCAAACATCTGGTATAATGGTTATGCTGTCTTTCACATGGCATCAGGGTTTAGTTTCTAAGGTTGGCATGTATAAGTCTCAGTTTCAGCTTAGTCCCACAAGCACATTTATCAACAATAATAATATGCATACCAGCAATGGTGTATTCAGAGGAGGTTGAACCCTTTTCAATCAGTGGTCTCAACCATAACTCATTTGGTGACCCTGCTCTTTGACGGAGGTTTTTGCATCTTCCACAATTGCCTTGTTTAAGACGGCCTTATCGACTACCGTTCAATTATCATGACTACATATTTTTGAGTTCCCAGTACTCTCCAGGTTCTTACATTGTTTTGGGTACTTAGTCCCAAATAACCATTCCAGTTACCTACCAGGTATATTAAGGTTGCATTATATGATCTTTCTTTATACCTGTTTGTGACCTGATTTTTATATGCTATGTATCACCTTTACCTACTGGGTTATTTTTCATGGCTACTGACCAACAGACATCATCGATCAGAGTGATTTACACTGTTTGACCACAGACCGCTTACTCATTCTCTCTACATCCTCAGACCAATTCTTTTTACTCAACACACTGTCAGGTAGGAAAGGTGTTCAATCCTTGTCTTCAATTCATCTGATCAATATTTCTCTCTTCTATGTCCAATCAGATTTCAATCTTTATCATGTTCAGTGAGGATTAGTTAGTAAGGTTTTGTGCCTGCACTTATACCTTTAGACATACTAGACAACACTTT